GCAAGTTTCTTCATGTCCCGCACTTGGTTTGTGTTTTAGATTCGTTAGTCAACTCCCCCATTGCTTCTTTGTCTCGGAACTGAGCACTTCCCTAAATGGTAGATTTTACTGTTAAAGACCTTACAATAAGATTGTTTTATCTGTACATTTTTTCAGATATTTAACTGTATAAAAATGTTCATTTTACACAATATTTAATTAAAGTATTTCTTGTCTGTGAATTTCACTTCCAGTGATTTTATCTGTTTTGATTCTTAAAGTGACTGATGCCACCCCCCACCCCCACCCCTCTGTCAGGACAGGGGTCTGTCTCATGGGCCCATTGTGAAGTCCGGAGCTGCATCAGGGCGCAGGCGAAGGGGACGTGGAAGAGTAGCTGTCCCCAGGGCCCTCAGCTCTCGGGCATTTACCTAAGCTGCCCAAGAAACTGGGCAAGCAGGTGCCCAGATGGTTTCCACCGCCCGTACGCACCATCTGTACGTATGTTAAACTCTGGCTCCTGCCTCCAGTGCCTGCCCCTGGGGATCTGATTCACCAGGGGCCACGCCATCATTTACCCTGGGGTTTGGTCAGCAACCTCCTGGCCCTCCCTCCCGGCTCTCTGCTCCTGGCCTGAAGGGTTGGGCAGGGTGGGAGTGAGTGCCCCTGACAGTCCAGGCTCACACTCAGTGGTGAGATTGGAGCAGTTCCATATGGGTTCGGTAGAACCCATGCCTGGTTTTTGGGTTGAGTTTGGCAGACCTGTTAACATGTCCTTACTCGTTTCCACAGTCACCTGTGCAGCCGTGGTGGTCTGCTGCCACGTGGGCATGAGACCGGTGGTTACTTTTATGTAGATCGTGTTCTAGTACTTGCAATGTCACAAGGGCAGCGAGCCGGCGGTCCAGTTATTTGAATCCCATCACCGTCCACATGTGCTTGCTCCCCGTCACTGTGTTCTGATGAGGCATTGGCAGAGGCTCTGGACAAACCCAGCCACCCTGCTGGCTCGGACCCGCTCCAGGCCGCCTGCAGCCAACTCTGGGCCCAGCACGGTGGTACCGCAAGCCCTAAGTACTTCCCCCATCGGCGGCACGTGTAATGAGACCCTCCGAGATGGCAGGCCGCTCCCGTGGGTTCCCGGAGCCCACCCCCCATCCTGCCCCACTCATTTTCTCTTCACCAAACGGCTGCTTGAGCGTGTTTTGGCTTGCAGCTCTATAACACATACACATAAGTGTGATCCAAATTAGTCCTCACAAATGTCACCTTAATTACTTATTCTGCTGAGCAAAACAGGAAACAATTATTCAAAACATAAAGAAACTTGTGAATACGTTTTTTCTTCTTTTTGCCTTCTGCCAATGGCGAGCAAGTTCTGAGAGATGCTGGCCGGGGCGGGAGGGTGGAAAGGGGGGGTGGTGTTTTTGCCTGCCACCCACCCTCTTGCCCACCTTCCAAAGAGCAGTGAGGGACAGGCATGGGAGGTGTTTCCCTGCTGCCCACCCCCCAGCTCCTGCCAGGAATGCTCAGCCTTAGAGAGGGGGTGGGTGGGTGTCACCGGGGGCACTTTCTGGAGCTCCTGTGCCAGGACCCTGAGGTTCAGGGATAGGGGAGGGAGCGGGGTAGGGTCTTGTCTCAAATTCGAAGCGAGAACTGGATTCTCTCAAAACGCATGCCAATTATTGTCAGGCCGCCTTTTAAGATCTCCCAAGCTTTTAAAGATTATTCAAAGCACTCGAAATGGGCTTCAATCTAATGCTTCGTTTCATTGCATTAAACAGCCTAGTTAATAAAGAATCGATGTATTCAAAGGGCAAGGTTATCTTTCGTCTATAAGGGGTGGTGTCATTGAGCACCTTTTATAGTTCAAACGCTGAGAGAGACCTCTGGAAATCCATACCCATCAGCGGTCAACAGGCGCAGGAAAGAGTCCCCTGAAAGGGGAGAAGAGCCGCCTTCCTTTAAAACAACGCCACACCTTATCTCCCTCGCTCCCAGCACCCAAAGTCCTCAGAAAATGTCAATTTCTCATCAAGACAATTGCCCCGATGATCTTGTTCACGGAGAAGACAATTAAAGAGATGCAGAGAGGCAGCTGGGAGGTGATTTGCAGCTGCCCGCCCCCCACTACTCACCACCACCCGCCCCAGCCACGAGCTCCCTCCCAGCAGATAATAAGGGTTGTTGATAACTCAAGTGTCAATAAGCCGAAGAGCGACTTTGAATGAGAGTCCTTGTGCTTCCAGCCGCCCAGCGATCCCAGCCCCTGATAACCAGCATCTGTCCACAGCACCCCCCTCGGACCTCACAATTAACACTGCGTGACATCACACAAAGGAACTGGCTCGCTTTAGATATGCGAGACAATCCCGTGTTACCCTTCAAGGGTGCCTTTTATGTGGGAATAAGGTTGCTTTTAATGAAATTTAAACTCATCAGAGGAAATAAAAAACCTCCAATCAGATTACAAATTGATTTCTTGGTCATTTGTCATTACCCAGTAGAGTCCAAAGTTTCGCCATCGCTCCGCCCGTGCTGGGAGGGATGGGCATGCCAGCACTCGCCCACCTGGTCTGGGGACAGTGGGCACCCTGTGCTCCCAGGCGAGTGGAGGGGGCTCTGCACCCTGAGGGCAGGTGGGCAAGGTTCTGATTCTGTAGCCACCCCCAGGTTCTGGGAACACTGAGCCTGGGGCACGAACGAGTGTCCCAAGCTGTGACCGGGCCCACACGTGTCAGAGGCCAGTGTGTCCTGCGGGGTACTCAGGATTGGTCTTCCGGAAGTCCATCTCCTGGCCTTTCTTTGGAGGTACCTCCCGATGGACTCGAACCGCTTGCTGAACAGCCAAGCGCCTGACCGTCCACACCACCAGG